ATTATATAATATACAACTTATCAACAACTTTTATACATTATTTCTATCTAGTTAAATATAACTACAATATCATACAACTTAAATACAATTTTCATACAAATTGTATACAATATGCCTTTTGTATATATTTTGTATATATTTTGTGAGTGGTGTGTTCTTCTTCCTCTCTAAAATTCCAATCAGAACTTCCTCTCTTAATACAATTTTGATACATATTAACAACTTTATGTAAAAAGATAGTATTGATAACTTAAATACAAATTTTATACAACGATTCATACATTATACAACTATTTTTCAACTTTCATACAACATTCAAATAAAAAAAAATATATAACTACAACATAATACAATTTACATACAATTATAATATAACTTTACTACAATTTCGTAAGTATATTGTATGTCATGTGTTCTTCTTCTTCCTTTTCGAGTTTCAATCTGAACGTCAGCCAAAATCAAGTCTAATATTCACCAAACACCCTCAAAATTGAGATATAAACTCCAAACAATATTCCCAATTGTTTGCAACAACACCCAATTCAAACAAATAATAATTTTTGAAAACCCAGATTCGATTTCAAAGCTTCAAAGTTTTTTAATGGCTACCAATGGTGGAGAGTCAACACCTTCAGAATTTATTGATTGACAATTTCAATTGAACATCAATTGTGCAACATGAAAGAAAATTGCTACGTTAAAGCGATTAAAATCCATTGATTAATTCCATTAAAACTCTATACAACAAGAAAGTATAAAAAACGGAGAACATCNATATAGATAGAGAGAGAGAGAGAGAGCAAGTATAAAGAGATAAGGAAATAACTGATATTACTTATTCAATTCCTAATATAAAGTAATACTCATTTAAAATTTATTTGTATATAATTAGTAAATTGTATATGTCCATGTAATTAAATTGAAACTTGAGTAGGGAGAGTAATAATGTTTCAAATAGTGTATAGGAAGGTAAAATAAGAAGAAACAATTAGGCTTAATTGGCACCACTTTTTAAATTTTGTCCCCATTAATTCTATGGGCGAAAAATTGGATCTCTTTTTTTTTAACGAACAAATTAACGGGGGATATAATTTAAAGATTGGCTTTAAAAAAGAGTTAATACCCTAAAATTCCCCTAAACTATCACGTTTTTGTCACTTTCCTGCTTAAACTATTTGGTGTATCCAAAATCCTCCTGAACTATATTGTCCTTCATACTACAAACCCCTCGTTGCATTCCTAGAGGTGCATCTAGTACACGCTCTTAATTTTCTAAAAAAGTATCACTTGGCACTACAAATGGCTATTTAACTGTAAAAATTTACCCGCACCAGGTGTTTACACCTAATGTAGTTAAGTTAACCATAGAACACAATATAAGGTCTATTAGGAATCTTATTTTAAATAATTAAAAAAATAGAATTAAGTCATACTAACATAAAATAAAAAGAATCAGGGTTACGGTCAGTTCTTAGTTCTTATTTCTTTTATTCCTGTCTTCTTATGGCGTTCTTTTATTTCTAATCTGATCTACTTCCAAAGTTTTGCATCACCAAGAGGAGCACATTTAATGGTACGAGAACTTTCACTATATCCTTCACCAAAATAAGTTGTCCGCTTCAATGAACAACTTGAAATAAAGGATAGATGAGTCAACTGAAAATTGTATCCTCCATTTAAACCCTGATATTCAAAACTGCAAGATCATATTAACCTATTATATTATGTAGATTACTCTTCTTATTATGTATGCTAAATTTTCGCCTTGTTAAGAAGATCCATCATTAGTGGGGTAAAACCAGATCAATTCTGAAATAATATAATTGTGCAAAGCAAAGTTCTATTTCGTAAAGTTTTTTCTTTTGTTAATTTTCATATGTGTTCCACTGAGGGTATGCTAAAGTAAATGCTTCTTTGTTAAGTTTAAAATGTTTAATATATTTTTCAAAGTTAAAATGTATATATAAATAATAATAGTTACCCTAGTAGAAGGAAAATTAACTTTTGTATTTCTAGAGGCCAATGACGGCACAGAAAGTGAACAAGAAATTAATGTCGTCATTCATTAACGTTACAGACCGGAGCTTTGCAAGACTCTATTAAGTATTTTTAATATTATTGTTTAAGATGATAGGAAAAATACATGTTAATTAACTATGATTAAATACTAATATTTGTTGTTAAATAATGTGACATGTGTTATTTGTTTATTGGATGCGTATAAACACCTTGTGCGGGCAATTTTTACCGCTATTTAACCTAGCCTAAAATATCCATAAACTATCACTTTTTTGTCAGTTACCTACTTAAACTATATAGTGCACCCAAAATCCCCTAAATTATATTCCCCTATATATTGAAATCATATGTTGAATTCTTAGAGGTATGTCTGTCTAACTATATTAACTTATAGTTTGTACTAAATTTTTTATATAGTTTACTCATAATTTATTACTCTCGGATGATTGATTAATTCTAGAAATTTAATTTGGCCAAAATAGGATCTAATGTAATGTATTAACTTTAGGTTTAACTGTGATTGTGCTTTATACCAGACTCCAATTGAATAATTCTTTATTTATATTCATTTTGCAGCACATTAAAAAAAAGGCATATAGTGTTGCATTTATGAAAAAATCATCTTATATTACATAAACAAGATTACACAAAATAAAAGTTTGCAAATAAGAAACAAATCTGCCAACAACTACATTCTCTAATTCTATAATACACAAACGAGGTTTAAGAGATTCAATTTTATTCTTTATAACAAGGTGTTGGTTTAATAAAAAGATTTAAATAGGCGTTCTTTCAACAATAATTTTAAAAGACGTGAAAGAAGTTATTTCAAAGGAAACAAGAGAGGGAATTTTTTTTCGAGAGGCAACCCATAGGGAGAACTGAAAAAAAGGTAAAAAAAATAATATAAAAAAACGTAAAAAAAATAAGGAAGGATGATGGATATAAAGGAAATAAGGAGAATATTTAAAACAAAAACAAAGTTGAAAGAGGGTTAGACTAATTAGCCATTACATTCTGTCAGATGGGCCATTTTGATGGCTTTTTTTCAGCCGCCACGTTTTCCCAAGCGAGTGTGTACACACGTTATGTCAGGTTAGCAACGAAGGAGTGTAGATATGAAGGGCAATATAGTTCCAGGAGAATTTGGAGATACCAAATAGTTTAAGTAGGAAACTGACAAAAACATGATAGTTAGGGGTTTTAGGGTATTAACTCTTTAAAAAAGGGCCATTTGTGCAAGGCCCCGGCTCAATCAACGATTCATGTACCACGTTACATGTAGTCGTTGCCTTGTTTCGTGTCTGGAGAAATTTCTCTTGATTTTCTTGCTCTTTTCCTTTTGGTTTCCTTTGGGGGTGTCAATTGATATTTGAAAACCGACTAAATCGTACCGTATCGAACCGATTTTAAGTTTCTTCTAAAGAAACGTTGATTTTTATATAAATCTATAAATGTACCGATAATTAGGTTAGGTTTTTTATATTATAAAAATAAATCGAAAAAATATCGAACCGTACCGAATAAATTTTACATGGGAAAAATATATTTATATAGTAAGTTTAAAACTAATAAAGCATTAAATTGTTCATTGGGCCTTGAAATTATGAAAATTGTTACAAGCTAATAAATAATTAAACTCAAAATACTAATTCTTAAAACCTATTATGCTACTTATACTTAAACTAAGTTATTTCAAGTATCTTTATTAGCAAGACACAAAATATTCTAGCGATTATGAGTAGCAAATTGCAATTTATTGAATATGTTTCCTCTCATATAATTTAGATTTATATTTTTGAATATTTAATATAGACGTTATTCTTGAGTCCAAGTTTGGTTAATATCTTTCCTCTCGTGTGATTTATATTTTCTTTGTTTTACTTGGTTTATTTTACATTGCTGTCAAATAGTTGTGTATCTATACTCTAGCAATTTTTCATGTTTTTTTTTAATTCATCACCCTTTAAACAGTAAAATTGTCTAGAGAGTTTTGCTAAGTCCTATAAAAGAACGTATGTTATTGCATTCTACTTTTACTGGTGAATTTTACATGACATTTCAAAAAATACCGAAAATTAACCGAACCATATCAATACCGAAGTAAAACCGACATGATTGGGACGGTTTCGAAAAGTCTAATTTTGATTATACATAATAGAATAATCGAAAAATTAGTATAATACAAATTTTATAAAATAACTGGCCGAACCAAACCATTGACAGTTTCCTCATCATTTTGCAAGGTCCATGGACCATTTCGACCATAGCGTGAAATTCTAATTGAACTTTTTTTAGTTTTGGTAATGCGGAAAAAAAATATTACTATAAAATTAGACAGAGTTATTACAGAAAATAGAAGTGCCATACATAGCACTGAAGTTTTCAAGACTAGCCAAAGTATTACATAAACTAGCCGAAATATTTCCAGCAAAATTTGTTCCTCCCTTGTCCACCAAAAAGTATAAATAGTTAAATCATTTTCTAACAAATGTATTAACTCCGCGCAGTGAGCTTCGAATTCTAATTGAATTCATATGAACACAATTAGTAAACTGATGTACTTCAAATTCTTAAAGAACATAAAGCTGTTGCTACTACAGGTTGCATTTGCTTCAATACTTTGAAGAAGATTATTTTTTTCCCCAATTTTCTTTTTGAAAATATTTGTAAAAACTTTTTTTTCAACTAGACACTAAATCTTTTTGCAAAACCAATAAAAGACTTTTTTCGGCTTAGATGGCTCTTTTTAGGCCAAATGTGAATGCTTTGACTTATATGCGCTAAAATAAGCAAAATTCGTAGGATGCTTAAATGAGTACAAATTGAAAGCTATATTCGTGCTGACATCCACCGTCAGACCGAATTTCTCGTGTTTCCATACATTTATTTGTTTAATTAATACTAAAGTAACAATGGTTTCTTTTTCTTTTTTTTTTTTTCTGTTTTTAAAGGAAAAACTCAACGGTCAATTTATAGGCAAACGAAAGTTTCTGTGATTGAGATATCATCCTCTTTCCGCAATACTTTTAAACGGGATTAACTTTCGGCAAAGCTCGTCAATTGTGAACCAAAATATAAATTTTCAGTAGTAATTGTTTTACATGTTTAAACCAGAGATAAATTTTCAAGTTCCTCTCGTTCCCATTGTTGGGGATGATTTCTGCTTCCCTTACCTTGTGAACCTAAATGTGAAGAAGAAAATTCTTGGAATTTCACATATAAATATCGATGTATTGGATGATATTGGAATTTCTCTTCTTCAAGGTAATGGAAAAGTTTGGCATCTCAGAAAGAAGAAAAGGATCATTTGTGATCCAGCTGGTTTACCCATCCTTACTCTGCGCGAAAAGGTACAACGCCTTCTATCTTTTTATTTTCACTACTACAATATTATTTTTTCTATATGAGTGGTAAATATTTTACAATAGTCCTAACTTGCAAATACTAATCCGAGGTCGTTTACACAAAAGTCAAACTTTGGTCAACTCTTATAACCTAACCTTCCAACAATGGAGACAAGTGTTCCAATTCACTTCAAAACTTTTCCGAACCAAACCAATCCCCGTCATAAAACAACAATCAAGCATACGAGAAATATCAAATAGGAAACAACCGGTCGAGTCGTTTTATTAGTGGATACTAGTTACTCTTATTGGATGCTTGTGATAACGTGACATCGAGTTTTGGGCATTGTTAGATTATTTTACTAAGTACCTGTTATCTTCCACAAGCACATATAGATATAGGCAGACAGAGGCGGACCCAGGATTTGAGCACGACGGGGGCGCCACTGTATGCTAATAACTAGCGATAAAATTCGACGTACAACTCTTTGAAAATTTAAGGATTATAATGAGTATCTTCCAAGTATAAGCAAAATGAAGTTCTAAAGAAAGAGAAAACACCGAACATAGAGGGATATTTCTTCTCAAAATGGGTGCTACGGGAAGGGAAGATGTTTGGTTTTAAGCATGTTTCGAAATTTAAAGTTTCTAATCTTTTTCTTAAATAAAAAGTGGCCAGTGATCAAAAGGGTATTCAAACTTCAAAAATTATTAAAAAACTTACTAAGGAAATCAAGATTAAAGGTTTGTTAATAGTCAAAGAACTGAAGAATAAACTTTAACCCTTAGTTCCCATTATTGAGTCGGAGTTGACAGATATATGCTACTTTGTCAAAGTAATTGTTGAAGAAGATTGTGGCAGAAATATTAGTATTTTTCTGTTTGTGCACCGATAAGTTGTAACTTGAGGCTTTTAGTTTTAAGGAAGGGATTTAAAAAAGAACAAAAGGACCATTATGTATTAGTACTAAACTATAATTTTAAAAAAGAGAGAGACAAAAGTAAAAAATAAAGCATATTACTATTAAGTATAAATTATATTGAATATAAAGAAGTAGAGTATTAATTATGTTGAATTGAAAGAAGTAAAACAGAAAGGAGGCGAACAAGTTAAGAGAAGGTTTTGAACCCAGGTCCATGCAATAAAGAAAGAATTTAAAGTGACCCATACAACCAGCTCTTCCATTCACCTTTTACCATTTGGGGGCACAAATATTATTTTTAAGGGGTCACAGTAGTGTGTATATATATATATATATATATAGGGTTTTGCCGAGGTTAACGGGGTCCGTGATCCCTCAACCCACAACGTGGGTCCGCCTCTGTAGGCGGATGAGATGAAATCCTATGGCATTTTTACTCTGGTTGTACCTAGGTTTTCCATGATTTTCATCTGCTTCATTAACCATTAGGTCACACTTTATTAGGCCACACCTTGGAGTGAGGAGGGAGAAGCGGGTATATTCTTGTATTTATGATTTGTAAACATGATTTAGTATCAAATTAACTCAAGGAATGCATATTATGAACTGAAAATGAGGTGGTTCTTGAATATTTGACAGTCACTTTCATGGCATAATACTTGGAAAGTTTATCGTGCCGGGAGTTCAGATAGGAATGATCTGCTCTACACTGTTAAAAGATCAAGCCCAATTCAAATGAAAATGCAACTTGATGTGTTCTTGGCTAGCAATATCAGTGGAGAGATGTGTGATTTCCATGTAAAGGGCGCTTACACCAATCAGTCTTTCAAAGTTTACAAAGGGGACACACTGATAGCTGAGGTACTTTTCTAAAATTTTAAGCTTCATTTCCCTGTTTGAGATTTTTTCTTTAGATTAAAGGGCAGCCTGGCTATGTGCGGGATCCGGGGAAAGGCCGGACCACAAGGGTCTGTTATACGCAACCTTACCCCTGCATTTATGCAAGAGGTTGTTTCCACTGCTCGAATCCGTGACCTCTTGATCACATGACAACAACTTTACCAGTTATGCAAGGCTCCCTTGAGTAAGGAAGCTTATTCTTTACTTTAAATGTGCAGGTGAAAGAGAAATTCAAACTTGGAAGCTTCTTCAAAGGAAGAGAAAATTTTGACCTAAGAGTATATCCTGGTGTTGATTATGCGTTTATTGTCTCAATATTGATAATATATAATGAAATATACGGGGAATCATAGGAGTTTATGTCCCTAGACTTAGCAAATTGGCTGCTTCCTTGCTCCCTTTCTCTTAATGTACATATGTGTCAAAGAGACCCTCTGGAATTTAGCCTTTAATGATGACTATAAATATATAGATCAGTTTTTCCCTACTTAATTTGGTTGAACTGGAAGTGTATCCAGTTGTAAGTTTCTTCTTTCTTCCTGATCATAAATTAGACTAGCTAGTCATTTTCATCTTCAAGCTCTCTTTCTTGGTAGAGTTAAGAAATAATGATGACTATAAATATATAGATCAGTTTTTCCCTACTTAATTTGGTTGAACTGGAAGTGTATCCAGTTGTAAGTTTCTTCTTTCTTCCTGATCATAAATTAGACTAGCTAGTCATTTTCATCTTCAAGCTCTCTTTCTTGGTAGAGTTAAGAAATAATGATGACTATAAATATATAGATCAGTTTTTCCCTACTTAATTTGGTTGAACTGGAAGTGTATCCAGTTGTAAGTTTCTTCTTTCTTCCTGATCATAAATTAGACTAGCTAGTCATTTTCATCTTCAAGCTCTCTTTCTTGGTAGAGTTAAGAAATAATGATGACTATAAATATATAGATCAGTTTTTCCCTACTTAATTTGGTTGAACTGGAAGTGTATCCAGTTGTAAGTTTCTTCTTTCTTCCTGATCATAAATTAGACTAGCTAGTCATTTTCATCTTCAAGCTCTCTTTCTTGGTAGAGTTAAGAAATAATGTAAATATTTGTATAAAAAAATCTGAGAATTTGGCTATATATTGTATTCACAACGATACAACAATGGAAACTAGCTAATATTGCACAACAATACACAGAAATTTGTCGCAGCAGAGTGAAAATATAAAAAGTCCAATCGAGAAGATAAAACATTTATGAACTATTTCCTATCAGATCGTAGATGTTTGCAGCAATAGCAATAATACTCGTCACAGCAGCTAGAACAATCATGACCACTGCGATTATCTTGTCTTTCCTTGAAGATAAACCATGAACATCTCTGCCGAACAGGAAATAAAATGTTCATGTTCAGCCTAAAACATACTAATAAAGAAAATCATTCAGATTTCTAAAGTTTGGGGGAAAAGAAAGATAAAGAAAGACCTTAGAGCAATTGCACCTGGGAATATGAAGGCAAGGCAAGCATTTGAAGTTGATCCCATAAACTGGTAAATGTACCATATTGACGGTATAGCAATGGCTACTAAATATGACAAGGCTAACAAGATCAATGTAAGGTACATGAATCGTTTCGTGTCAGTTGACAAATGCTCTTTCTTAGGGAATATGAGTTCGTCGATATTGGCCCTCAGAGAGAAGTTTAAGAGAGGAAACACCAGCATTAGGTGAAGCGCATAGCTCAAGCGAACCACATCATTTAGAATAGGACTGATTGCAACACTGCCAGAGGACATTCCAAAATTTACAAGTATATCTGCATTTATTGAATCTCCAAACAAAAGATATCCAAAAATGCCAATCGAAAAATATATGGCTGCACAAATTACTAGTGAAATTTTGACAGCAGTGGTCATAGCTCCAGGTTTCCCTAGCTCAATTCCAATAGGATGAACTGCATTCAAGTTTTTATTTCAGAAGTTTGTAAATTTAACATCTAGAGTATGATCAAGTATCTAATTAATGTTACCATTGAAGTGAAATGCAAAAGCTGTTACAATTACTGGGATGGCGGTGAAAAGATTAAAGAAGGATTTAGTACTATTCAACTCCGGTAGCATTCTTGGCCTTACTATTTGCCCTTTTGCGATTGCAATGAATGCCATGACAGTACATATACCGACAAATACAATCGCTAGGATAATCGCTACTGCTGAACTGAACCATAATGATTCTGCAATCACAAGCCATAGAAAAGCAAGCTACTAGTGAATCTTTTTACTTGTTTTAATAAAAAGCAAGTAAAATCTGATAGAAATTCAACAACAGAGGACAGGATCTACTAACCTACACGACGGTATAGGACTAGAGGAAGCACAACAAACAAGACAGTGAATAGGATCGATAGATAGCGAGAATTCCACCAGTGAATCCCAAACCATTCTTGAAGAATACCAAGATGTTCTCCTTTTCCAGAGAACACATCTCCTGATCATAGAAATTACAACAAAAAAGAAATATTAGGGCTTTGTAAAATCAATCACTATTCAGCTTTCAAGCATATCTACTGTCGTCATTGCATAAGATAATTATCATATGGTGACCACAAACAAAGGTTTGTTAAATGGACTTTGTGTTAAACTAAAATTGATACTTCTACTTTGCTAATGAGAAGCATTAACAAGAAAATTAAACTATGACTTGCTCTGTTCTGAAATCTAGACATTGCAAATGAGAAGCATTAACAAGAAAATTAAAGTAAACTTACCAATAATAATAAGGTACATGATCAAGCAACCAAGAGTAGTGATCATTACACAAATTTGTACTGCCAAAGAACCCGTCTTTCCAAAATTCTCTTTCATCAATCCAGCGTATGTCGTCGACTGGCCAGCATACGTGGCCCTCAACATGAAATTTACCGTTATCTCTACTAATATAGCAACCAGAACAATCAGCATAAATGCAGGAATAACACCTAAGACCTTCAGAGTTGCTGGGATTGACATAATTCCTGCTCCAATAATAGTTGTCGACACGTTGAACACTGCCCTCCAAATCATCCATTGGTTGTTCTCCCTTGTTGGAGAGTTTTGTTGCGAAAGCAATGGGACATCGGCGCTGGTACCTGTCCTGGACGGATCCATCCCGGAGATAAAATCTTGGTCGACGGAATATGCAATCAAAGAGAAGTGTTAAATGCCTCGGGAGACTTCAGTTCCGGACCTATGATGATTTGCTGTTAAAACAATTAGTAAAAAATATGACGGATTTGACAAATAAGCTAGTCTATGGCCGGAGGAAATGGTGAGTAGAATAGTTTAGACATATGAGAATTGGACAGGGAGGCGGCAAAAGCGACAGTTGAGAGGTATTCAAATGTTACAAGGAAACTAAGAAGGGACAAATGGCCTCACTAACAGCAATTAGTTTTGTGGCTCATGACAACTTATATGAGATTGATAGATTGTTTGGCAAGCCTGAAAAATCAACTTATATTGAAAACTGTTTTTTCCAAGAATGCTTTTGGAAAAAGTACTTTTAGAGAGAAACAGTTTGTATTTGGCTAATCACTCTAAAAAATTCTTTTGATCAATAATTTGTGTTTGGCTAAGTTTTTCAAAAAGTATTTTTAAGTATCAAATTACAAAATAAGAACATAAATAGATACTTAATTGTTGATATTATAAGTAAATTAAATAATCTCAAAAATTTGTTATTAAAGATAATAATTAAATCTTTTGATTTTATTTAAGTAAAATATAAAAATAAAATTAAAAAGTACTTTAATTCTTTAATATGATTTAAATATATTAAAAATTATTCAACAAAAATTAAGAACATTCACTCCTAAAGTCACTATATATTAGAAAGCTATCCTAAAAATAAGAAGAAATACTTATATATTGATATCTTAAGTATTAGGTCTAAAATAAGTAAGGTTATTTTGGTATATACTCTATTTAATTAAGGGTATTATTGGTAAGAAGAAAAGTCAAAACCGCTTCTGCTTTTGTTTGTGGGAAGAAGCTATTTTTTTCTGCTTCTCAAAAATTGCTTCTGTTTCTTCCCAAAAGCACTTTTTTCCCGAAAAAAGCTTGGCCAAACACCTTAAGTTGAGGAAAAAAAGGTACTTTTGAGAAAAAAAATATTTTTGGCCTTTAGAGAAGCTTGGGCAAACAGACTATGAATGGAATTTTGATGGTCTGGACAGCCTTTTGAAGTTTAATTTAGGCCAATAATCAACAAACAACATCATCCATATGATGTAACAGCAATCACTATCACATGTATATTCAATCCATTTGGTTCATGAAACTATAAGAATTGGCCATTGTTATGCTCCACTTTTTATTTTATTATATGCTTCAGTGGTTTCCTTTTTAGCTTTTCAGATCTCTTCGGGTGTGTTTGGTACGAAGGAAAATATTTTTCGGAAAATGTTTTCCAATTTTCTCATGTTTGGTTGACTTAAATGTTTTTCCTTATGAACTCATTTTCTTCAAATTGGAGGAAAATATTTTCCTTATCAACAGAAGGGAAAACATTTTCCAAAACTCCTTCTCAACCTTTCCCACCCACACCAACCCACCCCACCCCCTTGTTAGGATTTTGCCCTGAATTTCTCATGTATTAGGACTCTCTTTCTGAAAGAATGGAAAAAGACTCCTAAAAGGATTAAACCTCCTTAATATGTCTTATACTTTTCTTGGAGGACAAGTTTGCACATCTATAAATTAAGGATCTCTACTTCTCACAAGAGCACAAAAAATATCCACAATGTAGTCGTTAAAGAGTTTTGTTTAGAGGGAGATCTTCTCTCATAGTTTTTCTTCTTTTATATTAGTTTTATCATATGTAGATCAACTGACCAAACCATTATAAACTATTATGCTTAATTTAGTATGTTTTTCTTTTATCGTGTGATTTATCGTTCACCAAGTTTTGTATTGTTAGCTTCCGTATGGACCATGTTATTTTGATCCCAACAAGTGGTATCAGAGCCAATGGTTCGGAATCAACAGTTGAACGAGGTTGAAGATAGATTCAATGCGTGTTTAGATCAAGACGATGATAAAGATTTATTCAACATGCTACATGTGGAGATAAATTTACAATCACAATTGTATTCAAAACGCCTGCTGCTGCATCTTTATTGGAATAAAAACTCTTTCTAACCCATATTTTGGCCACTTTTAACCAATGTCAGTTTTAAGTCATGCCTACTTGCAACGCATGAGTTCCAGTGCCAGTTTTAACTCACGCTTCTTTTTAAGGCATGAGCTTCTTTTACCCCATGTTTATTCTTAACATGTGGGTTCCTTTTAACTCATACTTGAGCTTCTTTTAACCAATAGCAATATTTTCAACCTATACTGATTTTTAATCATGGCAAGCAGCAGTGAAGATTATGTGAAGATAGTGAATCAACTTTGTCAAGAAAATTCGGGCAAAAGGGAGATTGTTAGGATTTTGCCCTGAATTTCTCACCTATTAGGACTCTCTTTCTTGAAAGAATGGAAAAAGACTCCTAAAAGGATTAAACCTCCTTAATATGTCTTATACTTTTCTTGGAGCACAAGTTTGCACATCTATAAATTAAGGATCTCTACTTCTCACAAGAGCACAAAAAAATATCCACAATGTAGTCGTTAAAGAGTTTTGTTTAGGGGGAGATCTTCTCTCATAGTTTTTCTTCTTTTATATTAGTTTTATCATATGTAGATCAACTGAACAAACCATTATAAACTATTATGCTTAATTTAGTATGTTTTTCTTTTATCGTGTGATTTATCGTTCACCAAACTTTGTATTGTTAGCTTCCGTATGGACCATGTTATTTCGATCCCAACAAGTGTTATCAGAGCCAATGGTTCGGAATCAACAGTTGAACGAGGTTGAAGATAGATTCAATGCGTGTTTAGATCAAGATGATGATAAAGATTTATTCAACATGCTACATGTGGAGATAAATTTACAATCA